CGCTGAGCCTGCAGCCGCCCTGGCGTCGGGCTCCCCCTTCTGGCTAGACTCGCAGGCAGCCCCCGGGAGAGGGGTGCTCCTCGCCCCGCCCTTGGACTTGCCTCGGGGCCGGAGCTGGAGTTTTCCCTGCACCCATTCTCCCCTTTCTCCCCTTTTTCCTTGGCTGAAGACTAACCGGAACAGTGTGTGTGTGTGTGTGTGTGTGTGTGTGTGTGTGTGTGCCGGGGGATGGGGGGTGGGGTGACCAACAGGACTCAAAAACACACCTGAAGCCCTAACCGGTTCGGCTCAGTGGACAGAGCGTCGGCCTGCGGACTCAAGGGTCCCAGGTTCGATTCCGGTCAAGGGCATGTACCTTGGTTGTGGGCACATCCCCAGCAGGGGGTGTGCAGGAGGCAGCTGATCGATGCTTCTCTCTCATCAATGTTTCTGACTCTCTATCCCTCTCCCTTCCTCTCTGTAAAAAATCAATAAAATAAAATTTTAAAAAAACACACCTGGAGATCACAGGCGGGGAGTCAGGGCAACTGAACAGGCACAGTCCCACCCCCACCCCGTTCCTCTCCTTAAAATATCCCATCCCCTCATTCCCATCTCCAGGGTGGTGGCCAGAGCGGCGCCAAGATGTACTTGGCAGAGGCCGCACCTGGGCAGTGGCCCCAGGACGAGGAGAGCTGGGTGGGTGAGGGGGCCCCCGGGCCTGGCTACAAGGGCCCAGGTACTGTGGGCAGCCCTGCCCCAGCCGACCAGGCCTCTGTGTGTCCGGATTCCTGCGGGGAGGGGAGGGTGGGCAGTCAGGGTCTCGCTGTGGGGCTGCCTGGTAGGGAATGTTGTCTGTGTTGGGAGGTGGTGGAGGAACTGGACCCCAGGTGTTGCCAGACCCCAGCTGTGCCGGAGCTGTGCCAGCCGACACAGAGGAAATGGGAGGTGGGGGGCATGGAGGACAAAGGTCTCGTGTCTGCGGACTGGGAAGGACATAGGATACAGGCTGGCCCTGTCACTCAGGGGTGGGGGCCTGCCCCTCTCACCCCGTCGCCCCCAGGTGAGGGTCATACTTGGCCCAGGACACACTCCCTGATGGTATTTAGGCTCCTCGGAGACTGGCTTCTGGTTTTCTGTTGTTCAGGATGTTCCAACCACTAGAGGGGGAGGGGGGCAGCAGAGGGGGCCACTGGCTTTGAACACCCTTGCTTTGGCTGGATTTGTATTTTGATGGAAATAAAATTCACAGGAAACTCTCCAGAGCTTAGGGGCACTCACCCCAAGGCCAGGCACTTGTCCCAGGTTTCGGGGGATGGGGCAGGGTGGGGTGGGGGTTATGGATGTGCGGCTCCCAGCCGGACCCGGGCAGGCTGGCTTTCTCATCACGCTTATGGGACCTTTGGCTTGGAAGGGAGGGGGAGGGGATGCTGTGGCCTGAAGTCAGGAAGTGGGGCTAAGGCAGCCTGGGGACGGGGGAGAGAAGGCTGGGTGCGGGGAAGGCTGGGAGCTGTGGACTGGGGCGTGCGGCTGCTCCAGGGAAGCAGAGAGATGGAGAGAACCCTGGCCCGGAGAGAATGGATCCCCTGCTCTGTTTCCCATCTGGGCCGGTAGTTGAGTTAGTCAGCTCAGTGTCCCAGCGGCTCCGCCTCCTGACCCCTGACCTCCACCAACTGTGCCTCCTTCCCCACCACTCAGCTGCCCTCCAGGTTCCCCTGATTCCTTCCGTCCCCCGGGGCAGCTCACCCCATCTCTCCACAGTCCCCTCCCGCCCTCCAACACCCCTTCTGGACCCTCCAGGTTGCCTATGGGACCACCGAGAACAGCCCTGTGACCTTCATGAGCTTTCCCGAGGACACCGAGGAGCAGAAGTCTCAAAGCGTGGGCAGAATCATGCCTCACACAGAGGTGAGCCCCCCCCAATCCGGGAACCCCAGTCCCCAACCCCCTGTAGAGACCCACCCCCTCCCCCCGGCAGGGCCTTCCCCAGGCCAGGCCCGGGGCTCTCTCTGTGGGCTGAGGCCTGAGAGGAAGAGCTGAGCGGCGGCCACGAGCAGCTGCCAGCTGAACTTCTCCGCAGCCTCCCTTCCTGTCTGAGGTGTGTTTTTGCCAAGCCCCACTGTCTGTTTCGGGGCAGCCAGGACAGCCTCGAAGAGGAGCCAGAGCACAGAGATTTTTCCTACACAGCGCCTTCTCCCCCGCAGGCCCCCTACCCTCACCGCGGCAGAGTTCCTCCTTTCGCTTGGCGGAAATGCCCACTTTCCCAAGCAGCCTGTCCCTTCGGGGGTCCCTCGCGCCTCGAGGCTGACCCCAATCGTCTCTCACTGTCCAATTCCCAATGGTGCCTCCTCTCCTGCTCCATTGCTGGTGCTTTATGCCAGTCCACACCTGGTTCCCCTTGCCTGCTTGTGCCCTGGCGCCTCTGAGGGCACTGCCAGTGTGTCCAGGCAGCTGCTTCCCCTGGAGCGAATCTTTCCTGCCCTCCTCCCTGGAGTGAGTGTGCAGTGACGTCAGCCCCCTCCCAGCCCCCTCCCAGCCCCTTCCTATGCGTCTGACAACCTCACTGCCACTTGGTGGGATGCCCACCTGTGAGGTAGACAGGGCCAGCGCCCATGTCCCCATTTCACAGAGGCGAACACTGAGGCACACAGAGGCTGCGTTTTCCTTTCACGTTGGCTGCGGCCCATCTTTCTGCTAGGCTTTCAGGCTGCCTCTCTGCCGCCTCGCCTGTTCACATGGCCTGACCACACCACCCTCTTTGGCTTCTCTGTTTGCTGCTAAATGGGAACTCAGAGAGCACTGCCGTTCCTCCTGCACAGCTTATAACTCCTCGGCCCGCCTGGCCCGCCAGAGGCCTCCTTCTCTGTGGGAGCTCCTGTCCACTCCGTTTCCTCAGGACCCCTGGGCCGGGCCTCACCTGTTCTTGTGTGCCTGGCTCAGGGTCCACTCTGGCCTTGTCTCCCTTCCTTGGATCTGGCTGGGCAGAGCCAGGGCGGGGGGGCGGCTCACTGTTAGGGGGCAGGAAAGACGAAGCTCCCAGCCATTCCCGAGTCTCTCTCCACCCCTGAAGTGGGAGGGTGGAGGCCCCCTCCTGAAGCTGCCCTGTCCCAGGCCCAGATCGTGAACATGGAGCTGGGGACCATGGCAGAGCTGAACACACCCGGAGAGCTGTGGATCCGAGGCTACTGCGTCATGCTGGGCTACTGGGGGGAGCCCCAGAAGACTGAGGAAGTAATTGGACAGGACAAGTGGTATCGGACAGGGTGAGAGGGCGGAGCGGGGCAGAGGGTTTGGCTGCTGAGGGGAAGCCGGGGGCATTACACTAGAAGAGGGAGAGTATGTGTGTCAGTATGGCCCCTTCTCAGACCTCATTTCCACAATGTGTAAAATGGGGACGATCAGAGTCCGTGCCTAGGACCGCTGGACAGTGCGCGACACCGGTGTCTCAAAATCAGAGCCAAGGTGTCGACACTCATTTGTTAATGCAACAAATTCTTCTTCACCTGTCACGTGCCAGCACGCTGTTCCAGACACTGGCGGACCAGTGGAAAGCAAGATGAGAACGATCTTACTGTTACTGCTCACATGTCTGGTGGAGGGAGACCAGTACAAACAAGAGGGTTTCAGACACTGATAAAAGTGAGGAAAAGAAAAGGAGATCAGAGGAAAGAAAGGGCCTCTAGTAGAGAGGGGAGCTTGAGTGGGCAGAGAAGGCCTCCCAAGGTGTACGCCTTGGAGCTGAGACCTGAACGATAGAAAAGAAGCCAAGCCCTGGCCAGGTAGCTCAGTTGGTTAGCGCATTGTCCCTACACCCAAGGATGCAGGTTCAATTCCCGGTCGGGCACATACAAGACTCCACCAACGGCCCGGCCAGTGTGGCTCATTTGACCTATGAACCAGGAGGTCACAGTTCGATTCCTGATCAGGGCATGTGACCGGGACTGTGGGCTCGCTCCCTAGTGGGGGGGTGTAGGAGCCAGCCGATCAATGACTCTCTCTCATCATGGATGTTTCTATCTCTCCCTCCCTCTCCCTTCCTCTCTGAAATCTATAAAAATATATTTTTTAAAAAGAATCAACCAATGAATGCATAAATAAGTGGAACAACAAATCAGTGTTTCCTCTCTCTCTCTCAAATAAATAAATTAAAAAAAAAAGTCAGCCATGGAATGCATAATCATAGTTTGTTGAGAGAGAGGCCATGTTATAGGTATTGGTTTGTTTTTTTCCTCCCTCCCCCACTAGACTGTAAGTTCCAGAGAATGTCTTGTTCATGCTGTAGCCTCCAGAGTCTAGGGCAGTGGTTCTCAACCTTCCTAATGCCGCGACCCTTTAATACAGTTCCTCACGTGGTGGTGACCCCCAACCATAAAATTATTTTCGTTGCTACTTCATCAC